CCGATGGATTGAAGTTTCCTCAGGAAGTCAGTGGTGTCTCGAAGGTAGCTGGGAGTGCTGGTAGCGTAGGGCCTGAGGAGGGAGTCTACATAGCCAGACAATCCTGCTGTCAGGGTGCCAATGCCTGAGATGATGGGGCATCCAGGATTTCCAGGTTTATGGATCTTGGGTAGTAGATAGAATATCCCAGGTCGGGGTTCCAGGGGTGTGTCTGTGCGGATTTGATCTTGTGCTTTTTCAGGAAGTTTCTTGAGCAAATGCTGTAGTTTCTTTTGGTAACTCTCAGTGGGATCATAGGGTAATGGCTTGTAGAAACTCGTGTTGGAGAGCTGCCGAGCAGCCTCTTGTTCATATTCCGACCTATTCATGATGACAACAGCACCTCCTTTGTCAGCCTTTTTGATTATGATGTCAGAGTTGTTTCTGAGGCTGTGGATGGCATTGCGTTCCGCATGGCTGAGGTTATGGGGCAAGTGATGCTGCTTTTCCACATTTCCGGCTTGCTTCGGGGTCTTTCCTTCGGGTTGGTGGGAGGGTTGGTGGGAGCCGTGGGGTGTTAAGGTTTTGGAATCTGGGGGTGAAAAGGCGCCAGCGCGTTCGGGGGGGGGGGGGGGCCAGCGTCGCGGGCGGGTGGTTGGATAGGTTACATTGCGGGGGTTGGGGCTGTGTGCCCCTTGGCTGGGTTTAGAAGTTTGTTCCTTTTCTTTGTGAGAAGCAAAGGGGTGTAATGTCTAGTTTAGTAAAATCAAGCCACGGGAAGTGTGTGGAAGGTTGGTTTTCTGAGTTCTTTTTGGGCTCTTCTATCTTTCCGTTTGCGTGGGTGTTGTCGGTGTTCGGTTTCTTTGGGGGTGGCACAAGCGTCAGCAGCGTGGGTATGGTTGTAATGGTTTTTCCTTCGTCCTTTTGGTCTGTCTCGTTTGCATTTGGAAAGGAAGATGATGTCGTCGTTCGTACAATTTTTCAGCAGTTGATAGATTTCCTCCATGCTAAATGCGTGCCTGCATAATAACAGTTTAGAGTACTGAGTCTGTATTGAAAAGAAAAGGAGTATTGTGCCCTTAGAGCTACATTTATTTGAGCATGAGTTTCGTGAGCTACACTCCTTGTCGGATGATCCTGAAACTGCACACTTTATATATACACAGAGAATATGAAACAATACTCCTCCCCCCCATGTCCTGCTGGTAATAGTTATCTAAAGTGATCATCAGGTGGGCCATTTCAAAAATCATTTTCTCACCTCCACCCCCCACAAATTCACTCTCCTGCTGGTGATAGCCCATCAAAGTGAACTCTTTACACAATGTGCATGATAATCAAGTCGCTATTTCCTGCACAAATATTTCTACCCACCCCATAAAAAATACTCTCCTGTGGTATATATAAATGCCTCTCCAAGTTTAAATAAGTTAAAAAAATTGGGGGGGGGGGGTTAGGAAAAAAAAAGGAAACATACTTGCATAATGCTTACCCTCCCAGTCTCTATTTAAGCTAAATTAATAGTATCAATTTGCAAATGAATTCCAATTCAGAGTTTTGTGGAGTCTGGATTTGAAGTTTTTGTTTTAAGATAGCGCTTCATGTCTGTGATTGCATGACAAGAGATTGAAATGTTCTCCGCTGGTTTATGAATGTTATAATTCTTGACATCTGATTTGTGTCCATTTATTCTTTACGTAGAGACTGTCCAGTTTGACAATGTACATGGCAGAGGGGCATTGTGACATGATGGCATATATCAATTGGTGGATGTGCAGGTGAACCTCTGATAGTGTGGCTGATGTTATTAGCCTGTGATGGTGTCCCTGAATAGATACGTGGGCAAATTGGCAAGGGTTTGTTGCAAGGATAAGTTCTGGGTTAGTGGTTCTGTTGTGTGGTATGTGGTTGTTGGTGAGTATTTGCTTCAGGTTGGGGGTGTCTGTAGGAAGGACTGGCCTGTCTCCCAAGACTTGTGAGAGTGTTGGGTCATTTTAGGATAGGTTGTAGATTTAATAATGCGTTGGAGGGGTTTTAGTTGGGGGCTGGGTGGGTAGTGGTGTTCTGTTATTTTCTTTGTTAGGCTGTCCTGTAGTAGGTAACTTCTGGGAACTCTTTGGCTCTATCAATCTGTTTCTTTACTTCTGCAGGTGGGTATTGTAGTTGTAGAAAGTTGACAGAGATCTTGTAGGTGTTTGTCTCTGTCTGAGGGGTTGGAGCAAATGCGGTTGTATCAGAGTTGGCTGTAGACGATGGATTGTGTGGTGTGGTAGGGTGAAAGCTGGAGGCATGCAGGTAGGAATAGCGGTCAGTAGGTTTCCGGTATAGGGTGGTGTTTATGTGACATTGTTTATTAGACTTAATTTCTGGTCACAATCACGGACATGAAGGTCGCTATCTTAAAACAAAAAAACTTCAAATCCAGACTCCAGTGAGAAACTGCTGAATTGGAATTCATTTGCAAATTGGATACTATTAATTTAGGCTTAAATAGAGACTGGGAGTGGCTAAGTCATTATGCAAGGTAGCCTGTTTCCTCTTGTTTTTTCCTAACCCCCCCCCCCCCCCAAGATGTTCTGGTTTAACTTGGATTTAAACTTGGAGAGTGGTCAGTTTGGATGAGCTATTACCAGCAGGAGAGTGAGTTTGTGTGTGTATGGGGGTGGGGGGGATGTGAGAAAACCTGGATTTGTGCAGGAAATAGCCCGACTTGATTATCATGCACATTGTGTAAAGAGTTGTCACTTTGGATGGGCTATCACCAGCAGGAGAGTGAATTTGTGTGCGGGGATGGAGGGTGAGAAAACCTGGATTTGTGCTGGAAATGGCCCACCTGATGATCACTTTAGATAAGCTATTACCAGCAGGACAGTGGGGTGGGAGGAGGTATTGTTTCATATTCTCTGTGTATATATAAAGTCTGCTGCAGTTTCCACGGTATGCATCCGATGAAGTGAGCTGTAGCTCACGAAAGCTCATGCTCAAATAAACTGGTTAGTCTCTAAGGTGCCACAAGTACTCCTTTTCTTTTTGCGAATACAGACTAACACGGCTGTTACTCTGAAACCTTCAAATCAGTGGCACTGCTGTGGGTACCCGCATGGCCCCACAGTATGCCAACATATTTATGGCTGACTTAGATCAACGCTTCCTCAGCTCTCATCCCCTAACGCCACTACTCTGCTTGCACTATATTGATGACATCTTCATCATCTGGACCCATGGAAAAGAAGCCCTTGAGGAATTCCACCATGATTTCAACAATTTCCATCCCACCATCAACTTCAGCCTGGTCCAGTCCACACAAGAGATCCACTTCCTAGACACTCCAGTGCTAATAAACGATGGTCACATAACCACCACCCTATACCGGAAACCTACTGACCACTATTCCTACCTACATGCCTCCAGCTTTCACCCTGACCACACCACACGATCCATTGTCTACAGCCAAGCTCTGCGATACAACCGCATTTGCTCCAACCCCTCAGACAGAGACAAACACCTACAAGAGCTCTATCAAGCATTCTTACAACTACAATACCCACCTGCGGAAGTGAAGAAACAGATTGATAGAGCCAGAAGAGTTCCTAGAAGTCACCTACTACAGGACAGGCCTAACAAAGAAAATAACAGAACGCCACTAGCCGTCACCTTCAGCCCCCAACTAAAACCCCTCCAACGCATTATTAAGGATCTACAACCTATCCTGAAGGATGACCCAACACTCTCAGAAATCTTGGGAGACAGGCCAGTCCTTGCCTACAGACAGCCCCCCAACCTGAAGCAAATACTCACCAACAACCACATACTACACAACAGAACCACTAACCCAGGAACCTATCCTTGCAACAAAGCCCGTTGCCAACTGTGCCCACATATCTATTCAGGGTACACCATCACAGGGCCTAATAACATCAGCCACACTATCAGAGGCTCGTTCACCTGCACATCCACCAATGTGATATATGCCATCATGTGCCAGCAATGCCCCTCTGCCTTGTACATTGGTCAAACTGGACAGTCTCTGCATAAAAGAATAAATAGACACAAATCAGATGTCAAGAATTATAACATTAATAAATCAGTCGGAGAACACTTCCATCTCTCTGGTCACGTGATTACAGACATAAAAATTGCGATATTACAACAAAAAATCTTCAAAACCAGACTCCAGCGAGAGACTGTTGAATTGTAATTCATTTGCAAATTGGATACAATTAACTTAGGCTTGAATAGAGACTGGGAGTGGCTAAGTCATTATGCAAGGTAACCTATTTCCCCTTGTTTTTTCCTACCCTCCCCCCCCTCAGATGTTCTTGTTAAACCCTGGATTTGTGCTGGAAATGGCCACCTTGATTATCATACACATTGTAAGGAGAGTGATCACTTTAGATAAGCTATTACCAGCAGGAGAGTGGGGTGGGGGGAGAGAAAACCTTTTGTAGTGGTAAAACACCCATTTTTTCATGCTTTGTGTGTATAAACAGATCTTCTATGCTTTCCACAGTATGCATCCGATGAAGTGAGCTCTAGCTCACGAAAGCTTATGCTCAAATAAATTGGTTAGTCTCTAAGGTGCCACAAGTACTCCTTTTCTTTTTGTGAATACAGACTAACACGGCTGTTACTCTGAAACCATTCAGGGAACAGTATCTCTCTCTCTCTCTCTCTCTTTCTCTTTTTCACTTCCAAGCTTAATTAAACTTCCCAGGGGATACTTCTAAGTTCATAGACCAGCAAGTTTAGGAAATATATAGTTTTCACTGCTTTATTTTTTTAAGAACTTGTGACTACATTTGATGAGAAATACAGTGCGACTTGTACTTGTCCTGTCTGTTCTTCAGAATCTCTTTGAACAGGAAAATGGTAAAATATCTCTCTTTGTCCCAGTCAATCTGCCAAAAGTGCAGGAGAGCAGCAACTTGATATGAAAACTTGCTAACAAAATTGTTGATTTGATATGTCAGCTTGCCTACTAGGAGCTGTCACAGTCTAATGATATTGTCTTTTTCTTGCAGTCGAGCACCCTGACAAAATGGCTAATGACCAAGGTACAGTAGCCTCAATCTGTCACGTTTTCTCTTAGAATCAGTGCTGAATGTTAGGAACGATGTTACTCGTCACTTTGCATTCTGTTTTTCACCTGGGCTGCACACCTGATGAGGCAGGCACTGGCATGATAATTAATCTTGTTAATGAAGTTCTGCTTCGCAAAGGCTGCTGCTTTGATGGGGAAGATGTAAATTTTCTTGAGAGGAAATTGTTTTGTCTCTTTTCTGAAGGACCAATTAAAATGTCAAGCTTCTTTGTACGAAATAAATTTTTACTCTCTCTGCTGCATTTCTGAATAATTCACATTAAGTATAATTAAGTTCAGCATAATATTCAGACCGCTCTTGCACCCTTTCATGGGTTATAGATTAAAGTTCTGAAGTGTTGCAGTGAAAAATCATGAATCATTTTCTTTCTCAAGTCAGCAGCCCCTGTTTAATAAAAGCAAAGTTTAGTCAACTTTTCAAGGCATTATCATTGATATGTTTATCAAATATGAAATGTTGTCTAACTAGTCATTTTTCTTCTGCTGTTAACTTACTACAGTTTTTTTATTATTTGTGTTGTCTGTTGCTTGGAAATTTTCATCTTCTTTTTACTCCAAACTGATTTATTGTCGACATCCGTTTCCAATGCAACTATAGCATCTTCCACATAAGTAATGTCATTCAAAACATTGAGAGGGGGAAATATTCACAATGATATCTGAAAAGTTTAAGGCTACGAAGTTTAAGAAGGTGATTTGAACTCCCATTTCACACTAATTTCAATGGAAAGAAGGTATCCAAACCCCATAGGTCTCTCTTCACTTGGGGAAAAGGTGCAGTGTTACCTTCTGTTAGCTAACTCGAGTTAGCTAACATGACGTAAAATCCTAGTGAAGACAATGCAGTTTGTAGCTTTCACTTGTGTAAGCTTTGTGTAAAGCCTATGCTCTCCCATAGTCTGTACCTCAACTTGCTAGCACCTGTGAAAGCTATAAACTGTATCTTAAGTAGGATTTTACATCATGTAAGTTACCACAAGGTAATAACATACCTCCCACCCCAGTGAAGATACGTCCTTAGACTGTTTTGAAAATCCACCCTAAGGTTTCAGGATTTCATTCTTTATCTTTGGGGACAGGGATCTCAACATTTATCTTTTTGAAACTTGACATTTGATTTCAACCAATGTTAGTTTTTTCACCAGAACACACAAATTTCATGCTTTTACATGAAAAACCAATTTTATTTTGTTTTGGAAAATGTGAAAAATTGTGGGCTGCAAAATAGTTTCAAATTAACCCCCCACCCTTGCCTTTTTAAAATAATTGTTCTTTCCAAGCAGGCCTAACAAGCAATAAATAGGGCTGTCAAACAATTTAAAAAATAATTGCAATTAAGCATGAGATTTTAAAAAATTGTTGCGAATGAACACAATTTTAATGGCACCGTTAAACAATAAAATACAGGCAGTCCTTGGCTTACAACACAATTGGTTCCTGAAAATTGCGTTGTAAGTCAAAACATCGTAACTTGGAACTGCAATCCACTCCATTACGGGACCGAGCGTCATTAAGTCAAAACCAGTTGTCATAAGTCGAATCAAGGTACCAATTCAGAAACATCTCATCGTAAGTCAAACGTTGTAAAGTCGAGGACTGCCTGTACCAATTTAAATGTATTATAAATATTTTTGGTAGTTTTTCCACATTTTCAGATATATTGATTTCAAATACAACACAAAAAGAAAAGGAGTACTTGTGGCACCTTAGAGACTAACCAATTTATTTGAGCATGAGCTTTCGTGAGCTACAGCTCACTTCATCAGATGTATACCGTGGAAACTGCAGCAGACTTTATATACACACATACATACAAGTCGGGCTATTTCCTGCATAGATCCAGGTTTTCTCACATCCCCCCCACCCCCATACACACACAAACTCACTCTCCTGCTGGTAATAGCTCATCTAAACTGACCACTCTCCAAGTTTAAATCCAAGTTAAACCAGAACATCTGGGGGGGGGGGGGGGTAGGAAAAAACAAGAGGAAACAGGCTACCTTGCATAATGACTTAGCCCGACTTGATTATGTAAAGAGTTGTCACTTTGGATGGGCTAGCACCAGCAGGAGAGTGAATTTGTGTGGGGGGGTGGAGGGTGAGAAAACCTGGATTTGTGCTGGAAATGGCCCACCTGTTGATCACTTTAGATAAGCTATTACCAGCAGGACAGTGGGGTGGGAGGAGGTATTGTTTCATATTCTCTGTGTGTATATAAAGTCTGCTGCAGTTTCCACGGTATACATCTGATGAAGTGAGCTGTAGCTCACGAAAGCTCATGCTCAAATAAATTGGTTAGTCTCTAAGGTGCCACAAGTACTCCTTTTCTTTTTGCGAATACAGACTAACACGGCTGTTCCTCTGAAACCTGTCAAATACAACACAGAATACAAAGTGTACAAGTGGTCTCTTAATTATTTTGGATTACAAATATGTTCACAGTAAAAAATATAAACAAAAGAAATAGTATTTTTCAGTTTACCTCATACAAATACTGTAGGGAAATCCCTTTATCATGAAAGTGCAACTTACAAATGTAGATTTTTTTGGTGACATAACTGCACTCAAAAGCAAAACAATGTAAAACTTTACAGCCTACAAGTCAAAGCACAAAGAGGCATACGAATGTTTTAGCATATCTGGCACATAAATACCTTGCAACGCCCTCTACAACAGTCCCATGTGAATGCTTGTTCTCACTCATAGGTGACATTGTAGTTAAGAAGCGGGCGACATGATCTCCCATAAATGTAAACAAACTTGTTTGTCTGTGCGATTGGCTGAACAAGACGTAAGATTGAGTGGACTTGTATAAGGTGAATTGAAAAATACTATTTCTTTTGTTTATATTTTTATGATGTAAATATTTGTAATAAAAATAATACTAAAAGGTGAGCACTGTACACTTTGTATTCTGTGTTGTAATTTAGAACAATATGTTTGAAAATGTAGAAAAACATTCAGAAATATTTATTATACATTTAAATTGGTATTCTATTTTTGTTTAACAGGGCAATTAAAATGGTAATTAATTGTAACTATTCTTTAATCTAGTTAATTTGTTTTGCATTAATTGCATACGTTAACTGTGATTAATTGATAGCCCTAATAATAAAATTATCAGTACTGAGGAACAGTTAAGAATAATAAGTAGATAGGCTATGATTTTCAGTGGGGCCTAAACCACTTAGGCACTCTTCTTCTAATTAAAGACAATGTGAGTTGGGCACATAACTCCATTAGATCTCTGCAAAAATCTCAGCATATTTCATTAGACTTGCCTTAGCTGATAAAACAAACGGGGCATCTTGATTTTCAGTAAGATCCCCAACTGTTATAACTCCAGGACTGCCTGTTACAAAATGTTCCTTCTACCTTTGATGCCAGTTTACAAATGAGGCAATCAAGTAATCAGTCAATTCTGATCTTAATAGAAAATCAGGAGTGTAAAGAAGATGCCAATTTGCTCAGATACCTTGGGAATGATTTTAAATAAATGCAAATAGAGGGAAACTTGAGTTATCATTTTGGTAACAGTGCAGCTAACTTGCTACCCACATAATAAATTTGGATTATCAACTTGAAATCCAACAATATAACATAAAATAGGCTTGAAAACAAAAGGGTAGGGGCATTTTTAGTGATAACTGTTGCTCTTCAAAGCATTATGGTATGGTGCATTAATTCAAGTTAGATGTAAAACTGCATGTACATAACATAATATTGCACAATTTAATGTTTTGTGTCATGCCCCTCTTGCTGTCACTTCAGATAGCAAATAACTAATCTAGGCCTCAGCCCTCCAACAGACTCTGTACAGACAGGCACCTGCACCCATATGGAACCCCAGTAGGGCTCCATACTGGTGCTTATGTTTGCCTTCCTAGAGTTACTTAAAGGATGAGGGCTGTAGTTTTTCTGTGGGCATTGGAGTTATATTTCTGAATGTGTGGTGTACAAAATTGCTATAGCTTGGTTATCCAGGCCTGTCTTACCTCTAGTTAGGTAACTAGAGCCAGAGATGTCAAGAGTAACAAGAAGGGTTTCTTCAGGTATGTTGGCAACAAGAAGAAAGCCAAGGAATGTGTGGGCCCCTTACTGAATGAGGGAGGCAAACTAGTGACAGAGGATGTGGAAAAAGCTAATGTACTCAATGCTTTTTTTGCCTCTGTTTTCACTAACAAGGTCAGCTCCCAGACTGCTACGCTGGGCATCACAAAATGGGGAAGAGATGGCCAGCCCTCTGTGGAGATAGAGGTGGTTAGGGACTATTTAGAAAAGCTGGACGTGCACAAGTCCATGGGGCCGGACGAGTTGCATCCGAGAGTGCTGAAGGAATTGGCGGCTGTGATTGCAGAGCCATTGGCCATTATCTTTGAAAACTCGTGGCGAACCGGGGAAGTCCCGGATGACTGGAAAAAGGCTAATGTAGTGCCAATCTTTAAAAAAGGGAAGAAGGAGGATCCTGGGAACTACAGGCCAGTCAGCCTCACTTCAGTCCCTGGAAAAATCATGGAGCAGGTCCTCAAAGAATCAATCCTGAAGCACTTGCATGAGAGGAAAGTGATCAGGAACAGCCAGCATGGATTCACCAAGGGAAGGTCATGCCTGACTAATCTAATCGCCTTTTATGATGAGATTACTGGTTCTGTGGATGAAGGGAAAGCAGTGGATGTATTGTTTCTTGACTTTAGCAAAGCTTTTGACACGGTCTCCCACAGTATTCTTGTCAGCAAGTTAAGGAAGTATGGGCTGGATGAATGCACTACAAGGTGGGTAGAAAGCTGGCTAGATTGTCGGGCTCAACGGGTAGTGATCAATGGCTCCATGTCTAGTTGGCAGCCGGTATCAAGTGGAGTACCCCAAGGGTCGGTCCTGGGGCCGGTTTTGTTCAATATCTTCATAAATGATCTGGAGGATGGTATGGATTGCACTCTCAGCAAATTTGCGGAT